GGGGTGAGGAAAGAGGAAAAAAGGCTAGGCAAAGCACCTTTCAAAAGGACCAAGAAAACAATGCCTCCAGAATTGGGAAGGAGGTCTCCCAAGCTGGAAAGATACACCAAGTCTCTTGCTGCGACTTGATTTCTCCCACCACCCCGATATTATCGAAACAGAGTTTTCACCCCTTCCTACCTTCCTCCAGCCCCCCACATTGGAGTGTTTAATGGAAAGAGAGGGCAGGGAGTCAGATGATGGGGCAGGGGTTGGTCCCGGAAAGTGTCTCACCAAGCCTGCAAGGTGATGCCATGGAGACTGGGACCCTGATTACTAACTCTTGCGGAGGTGTCCCCCAAGTATTCAGAGTGACACCCCACACCCTCGGCAGAGTGGGTAGTTTGAGATATTAAAAGGCTATATTTCAAGCAGTCTGATTTTAATAGTTTCCAGATTGGGGGATTTCCGAGAAAGGGGGCACCCGGCCGAGGCATACCAGGCAGCTTGTGTCTGCTTCTGATTAGCAGATGAAAACCGCTGGTTCTAGAAAGGTGCTCTGGGGTGCAGTGCAGCCGACCAGCCCCATCGGGCTGTCATGCACATACGCCCATACCTTTGCACTCCGGGTCCCACAGCCACCAGGGAGCACCCCACTCCAGCTAACGCCTGACCAGCTTCCTTGGGCCCTAGCTGCACCATCCCCCAGAGATACTGCATGACTTAGCATGACTCTGGTCACCCCAGACCGACATTCAGACGGAACACCAAGGTGGGGGAGAGAGGGAGATTGGGAAGAGAACCAGGGGGACAGAGAGAAGCTGAGGCTGCGCTGAGACGTAGACACCAGATCGAATTTGGGTTGTATTGGCTTTGCCATCCTTCTCTCATCCCTCCTTCCTTCCTTCCTCTCTTTCTTTCTTTCGTCTCTTGTCCCTTCCCTCCTCTCTCTCCACACTTGTCTTCCTTTTCTCTCACCGAACTCCCCGGTGTCGTCCTGCTCCCTGAGGCCTGCCAGGCCTTCCTCCCAGCGGCACCCCACCCCCCAGGCTTCCTTCCCAGCCATCCCCAGCACCAGTGCAGCCAGGCAAGAATCCAGCCTGGGCCCTCACCCAGCACCCAACTTTCATCTTCACCTATCTCGTCCCTCCGATCTCATGTACTCATAAATTATTACAATTAATTACAGCCAGGGAAAGCCATTCATGCGCGCCTCCCCCCTGCACTCCATCCAGTCACCAGGAAACTTGTAGGCAGCCAGCCGGGGCAGGCACAAGCTGG